AGTGTTATGATGTACTGTTACAGACTTTGCTGTTGAAAAAGCTTATAATATTTTACTGGTTTTATTCTTATTGGTGGACTGTGAATTATTGACAGCGTAGTTTAGTCCTGCCCTCAGAGTTTGACGCAACATTTCATGTTCCGCTTTAACGTGATGAAGGGCTTGTGTGTATTCAAGCCATAGATGAGTGTGCGTAACTTTGAAAGTAAGTTTATTTTCCCATATATATTTATACATGTTTTTAAGCTTGTTTATATTGCTGTATGCTGTATTTAACCATGCTGATATATATATATATATATTGTATCCATATCTCCGTGAAGTTAATGCTAGTTAATGTTCGCTGTCTCTGCACGTGAGCTTCAATGTGCGCTGTATAAGTGTGATGACGAATAATATTTCACATTTTACTTTAATGTATACATCGTACAAATGTCAGTGAGCCATATTGTGTGGAGTGATAAGATTATTTATAATTGAGAAGCAGTTATAAGACGATGATCGCGCACATCACTAGTCGAGTATAGTCACGTGTAGTCAGGTGTTCTCACGTGTTTGTACATTTGATATGGGTGTGTGTTTGTCGTTTATTGCTGTGAATTGATTATTGTATTTCTGTTTTAATTATAGAAAAACCACACACGTTTGTAAACCCATACACAATCATAACTGCATTGTGTATGTCAGCTGGCTTGAAACTTTATTAAAAACAGTGATTAGACTCATGGACTTCTGTGCATTCTTACCGATGCCCCGTGATAATCCCATCTAAACCAAACCAGTTCAAGAAACATACTTAACATTGATGGTCCTTCGAGCCGGAGGGTGATTGTCACGGAAGAAGATGTCCAGAGCATATTCATAGTCAGAGCATGAGCCTGATGTCCGCAGGAAGCGGTTGTCATGTCCTCCGCGCCATTTGGCGGATTATGAAGTGGAATACAGAGGCTTCCAGCACACCTTCTTCCAGGGCACCGCCAGAGCATCGCCACAGTGAGTCAGAAAGTCAGAGTACTTCTTACCAGATGGAGGGAGCTGCCAAGATGACACCCCTCATAAGGTGGCGTGAGACAGATAGTGGAGATGTGGTTGAAGATATAGGAGAACCATATGTAGACAGAGATGCGCAAATGATGATTCAGAAGCTTTGAGAAGAGAACAGACATCTGCATGAAACCATAAAGGACTTGAAACGCAGTTCTGAAAACAGACTCATCTCAGTGTCCTTCCCCTCTGCCTCGCATTCATTCATTATGTAGTGTAGAGAAGAAACAGAAGAGGGTCCCTCCTGTCCCAGCTCCACGTTCTAACAAGTCACTAATAGCTCAAATGAGTAATCAGACTTATAATATCTCCGTGAAGTTAATGCTAGCGCTATAAATGTTCGCTGTCTCTGCACGTGCGCTTCAATGTGTGCGGTATAAGTGTGATGACGAATAATATTTCACATTTACTTTAATGTATACATCGTACAAATGTCAGTGAGCCATATTGTGTGGATTGATAAGATTATTTATAATTGAAAAGCAGTTATAAGACGATGATCGCGTACATCACTAGTCGATTATAGTCACGTGTCCTCACGTGTTTGTACACTTGATATGGGTGTGTTTGTCGTTTATTGCTGTGAATTGATTATTGTATTTCTGTTTTAATTATAGAAAAACCACACACGTTTGTAAACCCATACACAATCACGACTGCATTGTGTATGTCAGCTGGCTTGAAACTTTATTAAAAACAGTGATTGGACTCATGGACTCCTGTGCATTCTTACCGATGCCCCGTGATGATCCCATCTAAACCAAACCAGTCAAAGCATACTTAACATTATGGTCCTTCGAGCCGGATGGTGATTGTCACGGAATAAGATGTCCAGAGCATATTCAGAGTCAGAGCATGAGCCTGATGTCCGCAGGAAGCGGTTGTCACATCCTCCGCGCCATTTGGCGGATTATGAAGTGGAATACAGAGGCCTCCAGCATACATATCCACCTTCTTCCAGGGCACAGCCAGAGCATCGCCACAGTGAGTCAGAAAGTCAGAGTACTTCTCACCAGATGGAGGGAGCTGCCAAGATGACACCCCTCATAAGGTGGCGTGAGACAGATAGTGGAGATGTGGTTGAAGATATAGGAGAACCATATGTAGACAGCCATGCGCAAATGATGATTCAGAAGCTTCGAGAAGAGAACAGACGTCTGCATGAAACCATAAAGGACTTGAAACGCAGTTCTGAAAAGGATAAAACCGACTCATCTCAGTGTCCTTCACCTCTGCCTCGCATTCATTCATTACATAGTGTAGAGAAGAAACAGACGAGCGTCCCTCCTGTCCCAGCTCCACGTTCTAACAAGTCACTAATAGCTCAAATGAGTAATCAGACTTATAAAGAGGCTTCAGAAAATTCAGTCGTGGATGATGGAACGGCTAGGTCAGCAGTTGAGGAGCTAGACCATGAAGCTAAGTTGTCAGATGATCTTTCCAAAATGAGATTGCAGTCCACACCAAGGAGCAGACATATGCAATATCATCCAAAGCCCCCATGTTCATCACAACCCTAGCACACGACAGGGCCCAAGCTATTCGCATGATCAGAGATACATCCCACGAAAGCCATATATACGCAGCCTTTCCCCTTGTACACCCAGACAATGCAATCACTAACTGAGCATTATGGACAGCCTCATCAGTTGGCATTACAGAAAATTGCTGACTTAATGGATGGGCCAAATATTCGAAGTGGAGACACTCAGGCCTTTCGGAGGTTTGCCCTCAGAGTCCTAGCATTGGTGGGTATGCTTGATCAGTTGGATGAAAAGGGAGCTATTGAATTGCAATGTGGCTCGCATGTGGCAAGACTCATGTCCAAACTCCCTCACGATCTCAAGGCTAACTTCAAAAGATATGTTCACCCTCTTAAAAATCCCATTCCAAATCTCCTTGATTTTTCACACTGGCTTGAGTTCGAGTTGCAGGTGCAACCCACTGACAGTAAACTCAACACCAGTGAGACAAGGGGACGTGCTGGTCAGCAGAAAGAGGCTCCAAGACAGCGTAAGCACACCTTTCAGACAACAGCCATTCTGCATGGTGTAGATCAGTCTACCAACACTCCAGCTGTCAAACCCTCAGAATTTCAAAGCCCTGGCAAGAATGTTTACTGTCATTACTGCGACAATAATCACCACTATCTTAATCAATGCACCAACTTCACTCAGTTAACCAGTGAGCTCAAGACTAACTGGATTAAGGTGAATAAGAGATGTTGGAGGTGTGGGCGTAAACATCAGGCGGCCCAATGCAGATTGAAAGCCACGTGCAAAACTTGCAAGGGCAAACACCTGACTGTCTTGCATGACATCAACAGCAGAACAATAGACCGAAAAGATTCTGAGGGACCTCAAGTAAGTCAAACACTATACCTAGATCGGCCAGTAGGTGGTAGCCAAGTCCTTCTGAAAATCAGTAAAGTCCTGTTGCATAATGGCAAGCATTCATTGATGGCTTATGCGATTTTGGATGATGGCTCAGAACGTACCATCCTGCTTCATGATGCGGCACAGCAGCTTAAGCTTAAGGGGCAGACTGAGAACCTTTCTTTGAGAACAGTACGAAATGATGCTCAAGTCATTCATGGTGCAAGAGTATCCTTCACTCTGTCCCCTGCATTCCAGCCAAACAAGAAGTTCAAAATAAAAGGTGCCTTTACTGCAGAAAATTTGGGCTTGGCCAAGTACTCACATCCAGTTACCCTTCTGCAAAGGAAATACCAACATCTCAGAGGACTACCCCTTCATGCCTTTTCTCAGGTCCAGCCATTGCTGCTTATAGGCTCTGATCATCACCACTTAATCACCCCCATGGAGCCAGTGCGTTTCGGCCCACCAGGCGGGCCAGCTGCTATCAGGACCAGATTAGGATGGACACTCCAAGGGCCAGCTAATGTAGTCCAGCACCAAATCCCAGAACAACAATGCCTTTTTACATCTGTGACCTCTGTTCCATCAGAGCTATTGCAACATGTGGAAAGGCTCTGGCAACTTGATGTATTACCATACCGCAATGAGAAAGTGGTGACACGCTCATGTTGCGATCAAGAGGCTATTACTCTTCTTGAGACGAAGACAGCAAGGGTTAATGTAGATGGAGTGGTCCGCTATGCTACACCCCTTTTGAGAAAATCAGATATGCCTCAACTGAAAGCGCCTAAAGAATCTGTCCTTCCCCACCTCAAAGTATTGGAAAAACGTCTCAGTAAGAGTCCAGGGGCCTCATTTATAAAATGTTGCGTATAAACCGTCCTAAATTTGTTCTAAGATAATTTCTCAAAAGTGCGTAAGTGCGATTCAGAGAAAACGAACGTGCGCACAAAAACACGTGCGTATGCCTCTCTTCCAGATGTGACATTTATAAATCGCAAAAGATCTTCAAATTGTGCGCAGCTGACTAGTGTCAGATCTCCGCCTTGTAAACGCCCCCTAATTAATATCATTACCATATAAAAGAGCACACGCCAATATCCGAATTTCTATG